CAACTGGTTGTTGAGCCTCGGCTTGCATGGCCGCGGGCCCCTCAGGCGGTGCATCTGGTGCTGGAACAGCATGGGGGGCATGTGGAAGTGTTCCGCTTTGTTGAACTGCGGCCACTGCACTTGTGGATGGCAACTCATATATCCTGATTCGGGCATCGCCATTTTCGCTGCACTCAACATCGTGGGCCCACGGTGCGAGCTGCCGCCTGGCTCGAACGATCCGAGCTGGCTGTTCAATCGCGCGCGCTGCCCAGGCGGAAGCGTCGCGCGTGCGTTGGGCTGCAGTGCGCTCGTCGTAAATGTAGCGCGCCGCTCCCCAGCTGCGCCTGATTCCACTGCAAACCTCGATGGCGGCTTCATTGCGCCGGCTCCATCGCACTGCCGTCGCGGTAAGAAGTTCCTGGCGCACCGCAGAGACACGCCAGTCAAGCCAATCCGCGCGTGCTGACTCGACAGACCACAAGAAAGCTTCGCTTTCCACGCGTCAGCTTGGAGTCGCATTGTACACTCCAAGCGCCCATTGCGCCGGTAGTAGGCGTCGTCGTCCGAGCTGGTCGTCTCGACGCTGGTGTAGGCGAGGAGGCCCTGCAATTGCCCCATGAGAGCGCGCCCATCTTGTTCGGCATATATCGACTTTGCCCAGTCGATGCACGGGGCCTCGACGGCGTCCAAAATGGCGGCGTTGGGCTCTATAGAATCATCGCTTTCCATATTTCCCATGGGAGCGAAATGCAGCTTGCAGTGGTAGGTCATCCTGGCGACGTCGCGCCAATGACCGCGGACCCTGCAATCAGTCAATGTGGCGCAGAATGTGCCGCGGCTGATGCTGCTACTGCTGCTGCAGGGCCGCTCCACCATCCGCCGGCGTTCCTGCGACTTGAGCTGGGACCTGGAAGCACTTGTGGGCCGCTGGATTCGGGTCGCCCTCCGCTGGCTTCTCGCGGCCTGCCGGGCACGGCTCCGATGTCACGTTGCCTTTGCCGTTGCCCTTGCCGCCGAACTGAGCCACCAGGTTGTGGGGCTCATCCGCTCCTGGCCCTGGCAGGTGCGGCGATCTTTGGGCGGGCTCAGCTGGCTGCGTTGTTGCCAGCAAGGCTGGACCCACCCACGGCGTCTCTACTGCGCGTATGTCCACGGCTGTTGGCGGTGGCGAATGCGGCGGGCCTCTGACTGGCTACCACTGTGCCAATTTGGGCCCCTGTGGCGTGGGCTCGACTGCCTTTGGCAGCGGCCGCTGTGCCCCCGCCCCTGGTCCCAGGGCGCCCTTGACCACGTGCTGAACCGCCGCTGCCACTGCTGCCTCGGTGTCATGTCTGGCTGAAGGTGCCCACCTGATCCCATCGCTGGCCGGCCAATCGCCGAGTCCGCTGGCTTCGCCGCCGCTGCTGCTGCCATCTGCGGCATCGAGGCCGCCGAGAACTGCGGCGGCATTGGAAACCCCGTGGGCGGCATCTGGAGCTGCGGAATCCACATGGTCAGCGGCTGCTGTGGATCTGGCGTCGGGCACGGTCCAAGGGGGGCCCCTGTCCTCCTGGCATCTGCCGCATGTAGTGCTGCAATTTTCTGCTTCTGGTATATCTTCTGCTGGCTCGTGTACTGCAACTGCGCGTGCGCTTCTGCTCCTAGAGCGCCGCGGTCGTCTGAGCTGCTGCTGCTGCTCTCGGCGCCGCCGTCGTCGTCTCCACTGCCATATCGGCACCCGCAGTCTCGGGTAGGATGTCGCGGAGTTCGGGTGTGATCATGGCTTCCGTCTCCGCCGAGGCTGTCTTGGTGTCCTCGATGTCGTACTCGAGTTCCCCGACCTGGGTCTCCGGCGTGGCGACGTGGCACTCGGTGTATTTTTGGTCATCCATATTGGACGCTAGACGAGCCCATTGTTCCTCTTTGACCTCGGTCAAGGGTTTGATCTGATCCAACGCATACTTCAACATACTCATTTCCTCCATGAGCTCTTCGGCGGACGTCTTCGCTCTTACTGCTTGGATTGCCGAGCGGGCGAGTACCATGAGTCGTAGCTTCACTCGATCGCGGAATTTATAATGCATTATCCGATCCGTCGGCGGGCTCCAGCTGCTCCACTCGTAGTGCGCCTCCGCAAAGTGCTTCAGGGCAGGGGCCACCCGCTCGACGAGTCTGTAGGCTTGCTTCTCGAGGCCGTGGTATCGCTCGCGTTTGCGGTCGCCGTGGGATATGTCGCGACCAGGGCGAGCCTAGGGCGTCGGCGCGCCCTGTTTGTCCCACTTGCGGGGGGCGTTCCTGCTCGGCTGTCTCCGTTCGGCGAAGGAGCGTCCACAGGAGGAGCAGTTCCAATGCATGCCAGCCTACCTGGTGCAGTCCGCACGCACATGTCCATCCTGGCGCCGCGGCCATGGTTTCTGCAGCTGGGCGCGCTGGCCGCTGTGCGCTGTGATGGGCTGCTAGCAGGGTGGTGGCGCTGCCCTCTCTCTTCTCCTTCGGCGGTGCCAGGCAGCCCCCCTTCCCGCCTTGAGTGAGAGCACCCCCGTGGTGGATAAAGGACCGTGGTGGGCGTACGGTGTCCCAACCACAATTGAAAGAAAGTATGATGTGTTGTGGCTGGCCTGTCTGATGCCAACACACGAGGCGCAGACTCCTGCGGGCTGCCCTCCCCTGAGGCCAACCCACTCTGAGCCCAAACCTCCTCCTCCTCCTCCTCCTCCTCCCTCCCTCCCTCCCTCCCTCCCCCCCTCCTTCCCTCCCTCCCTCCCGCGTCACGGCCCCCTAGGCTCCCTCGGGGAGGGACCGGCACCCCCGCAGGGGACCTAGGGGGCAGGCCGGAAGGAAGCAGTCCGCCTGCTAGGCCACGGTGGGCCTGCAGGCCGCTGGAATTCCGGCCAGGCAGAGGCAAGGAGGGGAGAGGAGGAGGAGGAGGAGGAGGAGGAGGAGGAGGAGGGCACAGTTGCAGGGGCGGCCAGGCACAAGGAGAAGGAGAGGAGGCAGAGGCGAAGGGGAACGGGGGGCGGATGAGGTGGCCGCAGAAGTCGTGGTGGACGTCGACGTCGCGGGGGCGGGGGCAGGGGCCGAGGGAGGGGCAGGGGCGGTCGTCGTCGTGAGGCCCTTGTCGTAGTCGAGGTGGTCGTGGCAGCGGTGGTCGTCCTGGTGGCGGCCTCAGGGCAGTAGTCTGGCCCTTGTCCTGGTCGTGGCGCTGGCGGCGGTCGCCGCGGCGGTGGTCGTGGTGGCGCTGGTCACCGCCGTACTGGTTTAGCGCCCGAGGGCGCTCAGCAGCATCTCAGCATTCCCCCTTTAGAGGGTCCTGCTGATCTGCCGCCAGAGGCCGCTCAGCAGCTCGGAGCGGTCGGCGTCGTCTAAACCGGCTCCGTAGCTGCGGACGAAGCTGGCTGCTTCATCGCTGGGGCGCCCCCCCGTCTCGAAGACAAGGGGAACCAGTTCTCCTCCGTGCGGAGGGTAGCGCTCCCGCTTCTGCTCCACCGCCTGGGCGGCCGCCAGCCCATCCCTCTCGGCCCGGGCACCCCTGCGTGGAGCGTACGTTGAGTGTACGCAGGTGATGCTCCAGTCCATAAAGATTTGGCGGCCGCTGGCTGGGTCGAAGGTGGAGAGGTCGAGCACTGCTTGTTGGAGCTCGCCCGTGCGGGGATGGCGGCGGTCCCAGGCCGGGACGGCCTGCTCCGTGGGCGCCGCGAAGCCAGTGAGCTCCTTGTGCTTCGCAGAGTGCCAGTCGCGGCAACTGTTGTGGCGATTGTTGCGCGACGCGCCCACCTCGCACTTGGCTGCGTGCCAGCCGTGCGGGTCGAGGGGCTCGTTGCAGAGGCTTCCGTCCTGGCGACGGTGCTGGCAACGGGACCCAGGCGGACAGACTGGGGCGCAGAGCCGGCGTTTGAGGTTGCCGCAGAAGTGCGCGTCTGGCTGGCGTGGGTCATTTGGCTCGCGCGGGAGGAGCCAGCTGCCCGCTCCAGTGCCCCCGCTCTCCCTCAAGCGCAGGCGGTGGTCCCTCCCTCCCTCCCTCCCTCCCTCCCCTCCCTCTCTCCTTCCCTCCTTCCCTCCCTCCCTCCCTCCCTCCCCCCCTCCGTCTCTCCCTCCCTCTCGGCCAGTCGCGGGGATGGCGCCCCCACTGGCGCTCTGGGGGCCGCCCAGATGGGAACCGTCAGCGGTCCAGTGCGCCCTGGGCCAGCCTCGTCTTGAGGCAGGCCCCGGGTTGCGACGCTGGCCAAAGGCTGCCGGCGCTCTCTGCGCCGGCCAGCCGGCGCGCAACGGAAGAGGAAGGGGGGGAAACAAGGGAGGGACGGAAGAAGGCGGAGGCGAAACGCCAGACGCGCGCGGCAGCAAGGGCGGCCCAGCAACGGCACGGAGAGGAAGTGAGGGGCGACGTTTGGTGGGGACGGTCGGGTCGGTGGTGATAGCGGCAAAGGTGGTGTCATGACGCCGTCGCTGGCCGTGGCCGTGGTCGTGGTCGTAGTGTTGGTAGGCGGCGGTCGCGGTGGTGAATGTGCTGGCGCTGGTCGTGGTCGCGGCGTCGGTGGTCGCGGGGTTCGTCGTGATCAGTCGTCGTCTTGGTGGTGGTGGCGGCAAGGATTGTCGTCTTGTTGGCGGTCGTGGTGGTTTGGGTTCGTGGCTGTGGTCGCGGCCGCTCGTGGTGGTCACTGCGCTGGCGGCGGTCGCGGTGGACCGGTGGGCTGCTCGCCTAGCGTCCGAGTGCGCCTAGCAACATCTCAGCACTACCCTTTTAGACGGTTCTGCTGGTCTCGCGTGAGGCTGCCCAGCAGTTCGGATCGCTCGCCGCCGTCTAGGTCGGCTCCGTAGCTGCGGACGACGCTGGCGGCTTCGTCGCTGGGCCGGACCCCTGTCCGGAAGGCGAGGGGGACCAGCTCGCCCCCAGGTGGCGGGTACCGCTCCCGCTTCTGTTCCACCATCTGGGCAGCCGCCAAGCCGTCTCTGTCTGTCCGGGCCTCCCTCCCTCCCTCCCTCCTCGCCCTCCCTCCTCTCCCCTCCCTTCTTCGGGTGCTTCCAGGCTTCCCCCTGCCCGCCTCGGAATCTCCCCCTGCACGGTCAAAGCATACACGCCTGGTCTCCTGCCCTGCAGGCCGTTGAAGCGGGACACCCACGTCCCTTGCCTGGGGGGGGGGGGGCTCAACAGGCAAAACGGGTGCACTGTGTAGCTTAGTGAGGTGGAGCGTTAGGTGGGGGATCCCAGAGGTGCACATATTGACAGAGTACGGTGTGGTTGTGGTCGGCTGAGATATGACATAGTTCGATTACCTCTCGAGGCATCTCTAAAGGATGACACCGCACCTTGCGAAGCTCGCACTTGTACTCCTACTCAGCCATTAAAGTTAGAAATATGGATCCCACGGCATTTCAATATGATGGATCAAGCTTTTACTATTTGAGTTTGTCACTTGCCGCGCACAACTGAGCAAGACTGCAGACGGAAGACGAGGAGGATGAGAAGGACGACGAGAGAGACACGGAACGAAGAAGAAAATAGCCCAAAGCCAGGATCACCCGTTTTGTTCATCCAAGGGCTCGAACATATGCCCATCGAGAACGTGAACCCGCAGCAAAAACGAGTCGAATTGGCCACGCTCTTTCTGCGTTTCGACAAATGGCAAAGCATGGGAGGTGGGGACTCGGCTTCTGGCGCACTCTTAATCAAATACCACCAGCCCTCTGGGCGCCGGTGTTCTTCTAGCGACATATGTATTATCTTTCTCTCCTCTTCCAAAAGCTCTTTCATCACCTTCGGGGAAGGGTTTCTCACTGATCCCTACAAATATACACCCCCTCCCCCACCCGGCCCGCGGCCAACCCGGGTATAGGGATGGGAAAAATTATATCGCTGCAGTGGCCCAAACCTTGCAAGGCCCTTGAGCTAATCGGAGCGAAGTGTAAAACATGATGGTCACATCTCTGTTGCACCTTGCTCCGATGATGTAAAACACAATAATCTTCGGAGCTTTCAGTACACGGTTCGAGCATGTCGACGATACCTGAATACTGGACTCTTCAAAACAACATCGCACTGAAGATATGTGTAATTGGCGACCTGGCTCCCAACACATTATTGCAATACTTCGCACCTCCATATCAAGCCAACTGTCCAGGCTATATGCCTCGAATGCTGAGATCATGAACATGCATGTGCCGAAACCATATCGTAAGACATCTTGAGCCAGACTATCCACACCAATCAGGCGTGTGACTTTGAAAGTACCTGGTCGACTGTTAAACAGCTAGCAAAACCGACGCTAACTCACGAAGCGGAAGGGAACTCAACAGGCCTCAGCAGTGCAATAATACCGGTGAAGTTCGCCGTGGTGCATGCGAGCACACGCCCATCAGACTCCTGCACTGGTGCCAAACAAACTAATGGTGAAACTGGTCAGCGACGGGGGAGGAGCATAAACGAGAAAAGAAGGGATGCACGCAATACTGGACCGAAACCGAGCTAACATTATGAAAAAGGACATGGCCAAAGGAGCCTCCATGTGAGACATGCATGGATGCTTGAACACATAATGCGCATCGTGTGCAATTATGGCATTCGCATGTTGACCCTGAGAAGTCGTGGACACGTCGACCAGCGCTTAGGCGCTGGCGGGAACACACAACTCCTCAGGGACAGGACGGCCAAAGATGTCTGCAGACCAACGATGTCTGCAGACCAAAGATGCCGTTGACCTCCAGAGGGCCACATGGCTGTCAATAGCTCGATGGTTTTGCAACTTGAAATATACGATGAGATTGCGTGTGTACTATTTCCGGGTAGCGGTCGTTACGCCGAGGGGGATCAATTCGGGGTACTGGGTAACGGTAACCCTTGGGCGGGGTGGGAGGCGTCGGGGCGGGGGTGCGCTGCGATCTCCATAATATGCGCGCGAGCACCAGCATGTGGGGGAGGTCCAAGCCCTCTCCTACGTCCGATTGTTACCGCTGCCCCGGGTAGGGGGGGGGGGTAACGACCGTTGCGCGCCAGAGGAAGAAAAACACTTTGTCACTGTAACTATAGGACCGCCCCTGTAAAGTGTAAGCACGCGGGCATCAATTCTCGACGTCGGCGCTGGGGGCGGAGCGGGGAACGTGAAGGTCTGGGGCCAAATTTGGGGCCCCAGACCTGGACGAAATCGGCGCGTTCCCCCGACCGCGACATCTCCAATGTGATGTATTCCGAACGGAATTTCGGCCCGCGCACATGTGTGAAGCACGACACATACCCTGTAATGTTTTCCTGAGCTGGGGGCGGAACTGTGCAGCCCGAGTGCCCATCCGACACATTTGCCACATGTGGGAAGGGCACAAATTCTGACCACATGCATGGGTTTATGCTTCCCACGCTTTTCGAACATAACAAAAGTGCGAACAGCTCAAGACAGGTTCCAAGACAAACTCCAAACGAACCCAAGCCGACAGTCTCAGACCGAACCCGAGACGGACCCAAACAATATCAAGCAATATTTCAACAAAGTACACCCCACACGGCGGATGGATAGGCGGAGGACGACAGGAAAGGGGAGAGACAGAGAGAGAGAGAGAAAGAGAGAGAGAGAGAGAGAGACAGAGAAAGAAAGGGGAAGAGGGATAAGGGCGGCAAAATGGAGAACAAGGGGAAAAGGGGGCGCGATGGGGGAGGGGTGAGAACGGGAATGGGGGGGGGGGAGAGGGGGGAATGGGGGACGAAAAATGGAGAGAAGGCGGGGAGGGGAAGGGTTAGTGCGAGAGGCTGGGCCCGCAACAAATCGAGTCTCGCTGCGACGGTTGCCAACCAGCGCGGTCCTTCATTCGCAGCGTCTCCTCGCAAGTGGGGCAGCCTCCCCCCCCATGTACGCACGTTGTTCGCCTGTGTTGGCGTGCCTGTCTAACTCTGCCGAATTCCAGGCGTGCCTGCGTCGAATCAGTAGCGGCCCCACGCTGGCGACGAGAGGCTTGATCAAAACTATTCGAACTTACGAACTGGCCATATCTACCAAAACCCCAGACCAATCGGTAGCGAACAGTTGTGCGGCAGCTCGATTCTTCATTCCCCCGGTACGAAGAATTGCCCCCGTCCCCAACCGCTTTTGTAATGGTGTAGACGCTCTCAGACACTCAAGCCGTTTTTCACAAAAATAAAATGCGGCGGCCCCCTTTTCCGGAGGACCTTGCCAGTTTCGCCCTCGAGGGGCCCTGTGGAATGTACGGGAGTAGTTGTATGGAATACAGAGTACGGGATCCCTGCTGTACGAGAGCACGTTCTCTTTTTATGTTACTGGGGCCAGGGCGCGCCCGTCGCCTGCGCGCCAAGTGACTCAAGGGCCCTTGTGAGCCACAACGGCGGCACACAAAGGAGGTGGGACGGAGGCGAAGGAGGAGGAGAGGCTGACAAGGGCATGACAACCGCAGCTCGTATCTCTCTTGCAGCCGAGAAACTGCCGAGCCTCAGTCCGCGAACTTCCGCTGATTGTTGTTGGGAATCGTAGCCATTCAGATCCCGTGGCCTTCTCAAGAGGTCCCAAAGCGTCTGCGACGCACAGCCGCTACGGCCACACGAACACGTAGGCCTTGAAAACGTCTCTAGGAGAGGTCCATGAAGGGTTTTTCAGATCCTGGTTCGCCCGCAGCTTTCTCCATCTCGTGTATTACGCTCTTCGGTTCGGAGCCGCTGGGGTCGCACTGATGATATCCAGATCGATCCAGGTGGGGGGATGCTGCACTGAGCCCCATGGTCAATTGACGAACCCATCTCTCGCCCTCGGGGATCATCTTGACCTCGAGAACCGTCGGGCCGGGTCTCCGATTGTCTCGCCCGAACACGAGTGGACGCTCGGAAACGCAGTAGGAATAGCTTGCGCTGCAAGGTACATCCTGACCGTGCGATTCTATAGCCTGCGCCATCAAAGCATGATGATTCGTGTGGATATTGTCCCAGATGTCCCGCATCGTAATATTGTGGGTCCAGAGCTTGGCGACGTAGGTCACGCAGGTACTGCCTTCGACTTGTCACTACTGCTTGTGAACATGTACCGCGGGATAGCCTGCGCGGCGTTTGCGGCCCACCTGTATCTCGAACACGCATAAATACAAATTCATCTCGGCGCCCACATCAGACGACATCTGCACCATGTAGTGAGCGCAACAGGTGCGACGGGGTGCACCCTCGCAACTGAAACAGGGACCTTAGAGCACGGTGTCGCCCGTGCTCTAAGGTCCCTGTTTCAACTTGCACAGACCTTTCTTGCGCCAGATAGAAGCAAGAGCTGCCGTGTTGGCGCCGTGGTAGGCGGTCCGGGCGTCGGCATCCGGGCGGCGAAGCTCTTCGTCATGCTCCATCTTCTTGGCGCGCGCCATGGACATATCGATAACCAACCATGACCCGGCTGGATGCGCGATCGGGCACAGCGCGCGGGGGTCGCAGAGGAATCCGAAATATGTCCACGGGAAAAGCTGGATCCACTTGACAGCAAGATGTCCTAGAAAAACCTCCAGAACCAATGCGTCCAAAACAATCGTAGAGACAGAGGGCGTCGATCAGGTGGTCCCTCGTCGCGTCGACCTTGGTGCATACCTTCCAGTGGGAGCTCCTCATCTTGTCGACGACTTGCTTCCTCTTTCCCGTCAGCCGGTAGGTCCTTCTCCAGTGGGCGCCGGCTGGTGTAGTTCTCTTCGGGTCCGACAAGTATCTGGCCCTGCTCCCTGCTGGAAATTCTTCCATCACGGGGGCGGATGCGCACTGGTCGAGTGTCATCGCGGCGTTCATGGCCTCCCCGACGGCCCCACCCAGCTGGCGCACCGTTGTCTGCGCATCCCTTCAGGAGAGACACGGCGCATGGGACGTCGCGGCGGTGATCGTGAAGGCGCTGCAGCCCCCCCCTCGGCCCGCGCTTGCCGCGGTCCGCGATCTGGTCCACGAGATCCTGGAGAAGAGTCTCGCCGTCTTTCACCAACTCCCCCCAGCGGTCGTCGATTCGCTTCTTCTCCTCCTGGGGCGGGCGCCAAAGGTTTCTGCCTGCCCTCGGCTGTCGACGAGAGCCAGCACCGCGGGAACCCATCCTGGTAGGTCGCTGAAGCTCCTCTAAGCGAACGCTGACGCAAGGTGAGTAATCGCGGGGTCCTCAGTCTCGGTCTCCGCGCGCGCGGCGGAGTAACCATGGCGAGGCTCGAAATCCTTGTTCTCAGTTGTTGTCGCCAGGTAGTGCGCCGCGGCCTCGGCGTCAAAAATATTGCACCATGTGATCATGTTGATGACTTCCTCGGTGGGCATGGGCGCCAACAGCTTCATCCAGACATGCGAAGAAGGACATATCAGGTGCTGAAGCTGAACTGCGAGCGTCTCCGCTATGGGCTCGTTGGAGGCAGCGGCCAGGTTCTGAGCTTGATCCTCCAGCGTCTGTCGAGCTCGGCTCCTCAGCACCAAATAATGCATCAAGTCGTCGGTAGGCCAGCGCCCGTTCTTCTCCCGGACATCGGGCGGCCCCGATCTTCCGCCGTCTCGTCCTCCGCCATCTCCCGCTTCATCTGCAGAATATGTTGCTTCTCCACCTTCGCGATGTAGAGTGGCGGGCACTCGCATGCGGGCAGCAGTTTCCCGAACTGAAGAAATTCGTGGACGTGGCGCCCGTCTCTGGCAGGAATTCCCGGATGACCCCATCGCCCCTGTACTTGCGCGGTTCTGCAATCCAGGGATATTCTGGGAGCAGGGCCCCGCGTGCGCGGTGCATTCGCAAGTTTGCCATTCGTAGTAGCCTGGAGAAGCGCCCAGCCCAGCATCTCCGTCAAGCCCCCGACTCGTGCGCACCTGGCGGCGCAGTGGAAACCCAGGTCCCCCTGATGAGAAACGCCCAGATCCGCCCGTTTGATCCTTCCCCCTGGCGTAGCGACCGCGCGCGGGAAACGCGCCCTTTGGCTCCGACGGTGGGCCAGGACGGAAATGTCGTCGTGCTCATCGGGGACAAGACGTAGACGCCGACGGTCCCGATGTCCTTCAGCCTGGGGAGTGATGGCTTGGAGTCGGGCGCCTGCGTTTCCTCGACTGCCCTCTTGACCGCGCCGCCGTCGATGTCCTCCTCCACGGGGCGCAGCTGTGCAGACGAGGAGACAGCAGCAGTGCGTCTCCTCGGTCCTCCAGTTGCCTCAGGCTTAGCAACGGCCAGCGCCTTGGGCTGCGCTGGCACCTCGGGCCGCTGCTCTCATTGTGCTTCGGCCTCGGCAGCCCCCCCTGTCTCCGCGCAGATGTCGCGGGGCTTCTTGGCGATCAGCAGGGCGTCATCAGCGGCGTCGGCGCCGGATGCTGCGCCCGGCGGCCCGCCGCTAGCTCGAGCCCGCGTCCTCGACGTCCACGGCCTGCGCGGTCTGGTGCTTGATTTGTCCAGTTTTGTCGGCTCCCTCGGCGATTGGCCCTTCTTGCTTCGACTCCTTGGATGGTCGAGGGTCGACTCCGTTTACTGATGGACGCGCGACCCAGGTGGTTTCTGGCAGGTTCTCGAAGTCCTGTCGATCCCGCCGCGGCTGCGCCCAAGTCCGCCAACGAGGTATAGTTGCTCCTCTTGTCTTCCAAGGCGCACCTGATCCTGTGGAGCCGCACTCGAAGCATCTTCTTGAAGTCGCGAACCCAGGAAGCCCGAGTGTGGAAGCTGTGGGAGGACTGCGCGAGCTGCTTGATTCTGGCACGCTGCGCGCGGTGCATCTCCGAACGTACCGCGCACCTGCAGAGGAAGGTCGGCAGCCCCTGCGCGTTGCCAGCCTTGTTTTGGACCTCGGGCTCAATCGCCTCTGTGACGCTGTCCTCCGGTTGCGCACGTGAGCGTCGAGCGTAAACGAAATCCATTATCCGCCTCGCCTCGTTGCTTGATCCACGCCTTCCAGGTGTGGATCAGTCCCAGAGACCGCTCTAGCTTGAGCCGTTGGAACACAGCTCGAGCGTCGTGCCCCGCCATCTGCAACTTGGTAATCCTCGTCCGACGGGAGACTGAACCACCGCCGGTGAAATCCACATTGTCCGTCACCTTCTGCAAGCGGCGCAGCTCCGCCTCGAGGTTTTGGCTCGCGGCCACCGAAGGCGCTGCGCGTCCTCTGAGGCGATGAATATTTGGGACCGACTCGGATGGCACCCACTCCCGTGAGACGGACTCGGGGAGCTCGAGGCGGTCCACGAGCTCGACGAGGGTCTTGTTGTACTCGTCCACTTTACGTACCCTTTTCGCGGTCTCGCCTCGGCGCTGGATGGTCTCGCCACTCCATGTCTCCATATTATCCTCCATGTGCTGACTGGTCTCGGATGAGAGCCCCCCTGGGTCGGCGCCCTCCATGGGGCCCAGATCCACGACGTCGCTGTCGCCGCTATCGCGGCCGATGATGCGGCTGCCCTTTGACTGGAGACGATCCTGGGAGCGCGGGTTCCGCGTGGCGGCGGCCGCGCGCTGCTTGCCGCGCAGATCATCGTCGATCTCCTGTCCCCAGAGCGCCTGGGCCCGCGGGGTCCGGGGCGCTCTCGTCTGGGCGAGTCTCCTCCAGAGTCCTTTGAAGGAAATACCGAAGTCTCTCATGCAACTCATATGATTTCCGTTCTTCTCGAAATCCGCGGACGAGAGACGCGCGGGGTTGCTTCGAAGGAGGCCCAGCTAGCGATAAACCTTCGGCGAATGAAGCAAATGCCTGGCTCGCGGAGCTCTGATGACCAGCCCAGTGGGCATCAGCCGGCGAGCCACCTGAGCGAGCCACGTAAGCTGGCCACCGGGTCGTTGCATTCCTTGCAGTCGTAGAGCCGCCGAGGTCGACCTGCCCACCCTGCTCTTCTTCTGAAGCTGGGGGGTCGCCGA